TGGTCATAGATCGTCAAAATCAAGAGATCAGAAGTGGTCAAAAAATGACTTACGCGCATAATTGTCCGAAAATTCAAAACTTTTTCTACAGAAATTTCTAATTGTAGGCCACATATTTGTTTCTGGTTGGCCATGTAGCCATGTATTCACTAACCAACTTATTCGTCCGTGCACTCATCACAGGCTGAAAACTAAACTTAAGAATTCAAAAAAGAATTTTCTGGAGGACACTATGTAATTGACATTTATTGCCAATGAGCATATTGATATCTGATATGTATTGATAAAAGTTTGGAACTGCCTCCAAGGAAAATTTTGGCTAGATATCAGCAAAATTGTTGTAGAGTTATTCTTGTGTCAAAACAAAGTTATTTATTAGCCAATCTGATAGTTTCACAGGAAATAATATTTGCTACACTGATGGGAGAACAATTTTCTCAAGCACTTTGGAGCAACCTTTATTTTATAGAAAGATACTGAATATTGAAGAAAAGAATATTATTCGCTATTTCGGAATATTTGTGCTTTGGTCCAATAATATGCAAATCATCGCGATTAGCCATTTGACGAGATTGACGGAAATCATTAATTTTCTCACCGTTTTGCATAACGAAGCATTTGAACGAGCATGCGCAAGGCAGCAAGGAGCTCGTGCTTTGACCGAATGCGAAAAAAAAAAGCAATGTTCTTGAGTGATGAAGTGTTTTTCGCGTATATGGTTAGTGCACGGAAGTAAGGATGAGTGAGCATATAGAATGATTCGTGAGAGGGAGGCAGGAAGGTTCAGATGAACAAAAATATTGTTAGCACAGCTCCCTTTACATCAAAAGTAATTGTAGATAAAAAGTGAACGCTAAGCGAAGAGAGTAGTACTTAATGAGCCTAAGACTGTAATTCTGGAGAAGTCACACAATCAGGGCCCATAAAAGTGCTCCAGTCCAGTTCGAGGTTACATAGTTGCTAAGAACCTCATGCGTTCAGCATGTAATTGCCTTTCAATAGTTTTCCAACAAAGCCCCAGATGCCAAAAGAAAACGAAGATTGAGAAGTAATTTCTGCAGAACAGAAACGCCAATTCCATGAAAAGCTAAAGTAGTATTAGTCTGATGCGCAAGCCCTGCAGCAAAGTTTTGTAAGCTCGGAGCGATCATCATTTTCAGCAAATTCGTTCACTTCGATATTTTAAGATAAAAATATCAAAAAAAAATCTACGCCTAAAGCCTAAAGCATACCCCGCGCGATTCCGGTCGCTGCGCGATTTGGCACAACAGCGACTCTTCGTGACTCGTCGTTAATGCGCCGCCTTTGGTCAGAACTTGCTCCGTTTGCAACAACTTACACAAGCTACCCAAGTATGCGTTCGAGAGGTGCGCATAATAAATTTATAGAAATCTGGCAAATCGCCAAGTATCGTGAAAGTGGCGATTCGGTCGATTCGCGTGAGTTATGCCTTAGGCCTAATGTTGCTTGAGATACATCGTTATCGGCATGTGAAGGCGAAACCATGGTAAATGGAACTTGCGGTGGATGAAAATTCTAGATGACTCAACAAATTCAAATTCAGTCTTAGTGTAACCTACAATCATCTTATATATAAAGCTGAATGTCTGTTTGTCTGTCTGTCTGTATGTCTGTATGTCTGTCTGTCTGTCTGTCTGTACGTATGTTCCGAATAGAAAATTCCATTTCTGAACCGATCCGGACCAAACTTGGCACACATACACTACGGGCCCCGGCGGCTGTCATAGGCTACTTTTCGTCATCGATCGATATCGATTTTATCGATTTTATCGATTTTTTGCAAAGTTTGAGCTACGGGGCTGGGAGTTGGCACAGGGGGGTAATCGAGCATGGGGATTCCGAATACAATATTGGTTTTCAGGATTATCGATTACTTTTATCGATTTTATCGATTTTTTTGCAAAGTTTGAGCTACGGGGCTGGGAGTTGGCACAGGGGGGTAATCGAGCATGGGGATTCCGAATACGATATTGGTTTTCAGGATTATCGATTACTTTTATCGATTTTATCGATTTTTTTGCAAAGTTTGAGCTACGGGGCTGGGAGTTCGCACAGGGGGGTAATCGAGCATGCTGATCACCCCCAAGGGGGTGATCGGCACGCTCGATTACACCCCCTGCCAAATTCCAGCCCCGTAGCTCAAACTTTGCAAAAAAATCGATAAAATCGAGATCGATCGATACGAAAAGTAGCCTATGACATCCGCCGGGGCCCGAAGTGTATGTGTGCCAAGTTTGGTCCCGATCGGTTCAGAAATGGAATTTTCTATTCGGAACATACGTACACACAGATAGACATACATACAGACAGACAGACAGACATACATACAAACAGACATTCAGCTTTATGTATACGATTTCTTGAACATAAGGAACGAAAAATATCAGAAGCAGGCTATGCCTTCGAAGAAAAACAAATTTTCTAAGGCCCGTATGCACATACATCCCCGCGGAGAGGGGATGTGCGTTTAACCATTGAAATGATCCCCGCTGGGGCTCCCCTCCCTTCCCCACGCGAACCCCCGTATGCAGAAAGACAATACCGAAGAGGGGATTCCCTGGGAGTAGGGGAGGGGAGCCCCCTTATGCAGAAGGGAGATCGAGCGGGGAATTCATTTTGCTTCCGCTTTTTTTTGCAATAATTTCCTTTTTTCTTATCTTTTGATAGCTACTCGCCTTCAATGTGTCTCGGCGATATTTAGTCGTTGCGGAATGTCCTCTACCGTGATTGCGGTCGGCGCACTAAAGAAATATTTCCTACGTCCATTATATTCCAGCTGTTTTCATGGATGCTCATTCTCGCTCATGCTGCCCATTTCAGCGTGAAGGTGTTCAATAATCGAAGTCAAGGTGTATCTGCAGTGAATGCGTAGAAGACGTTATGCTGCCGAAAAAGGGGGGGGGGTGCTGCGGACATTCAAACCAGCATTTCTACACATAACTGAAGCTGCAAATTGTGCCAGCTCTCCATAAACGCTGTAGCTATCAGCTGCATATCGTCCTTTACCCCAAGGGAATGATCCCCAGCGGCCATCCCTGCTATGCACGAGGGGAACGATGGGAAGGGGATTACTCCTCCGAGGATCTCTACTCAGAAACACTCGAGTCTGCTAATTTTCATTTTATTCAAAGCAATTTTACGTTAGAGTAACAAGATAAAGACAATTTATCATATAATGTGATAGTTGCAATATGCTGTACCAGCCTTAATGGATAAAACTATCATGTCAAATAAAAAATGCGCAACTCTCGTGAATGGTCACAAACTTCTGCAGATGTCCGAAACTGCGGTGTATGTCCGGATTTCTTTACAAGAAGCGAATATGGAAGAGAGAGTTAATACTGCAAGCTACAGGTCGCTGAGAGAGGAACCCGGCTCCCGTAGAAAATCTTTCATCAATTTGAACAAAATGCTTTGTAATAATTGATTGAAATCAGAATACTCGCTTCTCCGGCTTGACCTACACTATCGACCCTACTCCGTTGTAGGGGATGTCGATCCCCTCCCCCGCGTTGTTGAGTTAAATTCGCGCGTAAGTGGGTTCGAGTGGGGGAGGGGAAGGGATCCCCTACCCCGAACCCCGTATGCACTGGGGTTCGCTCGATCAATACCTCTGTAACCATTCACACCATCCCCCTTCCCTCTGTCATGACGAGGTTCGGCGGAGGGGATCGTTCCCCTGGGGAATTAGCTCCCCTCCCCTCCCCAGCGGGAACGTACGTGCATACGGGCCTAAAAGTTTGACGAATTTCATGAACAAGAGTATCAGTGGTAATGAAACAAATAAACATTACGAATTCAGATGGGATCAGGTGCCTTTTGCAAAGTTGTTTATCAGTTAGAATAGTGTTAGCAGTCACAAATTTTTTTCTGAAAACAATGTTTATGAAAACACAACGCATGTACTTCCTACATACATAGATCCAAATCTAGATGAATAGATTTCTGGGAAGCCATGTAGACATACATTGAGAAGGAATATAATCTTCGAGTGAAATTTCAATTAAATTATAATTAAAATCAAATTTCAATTATGAACTGACCCGCTCCAATTCCTTCGAAGTGGCTGGGTGAGGCCGTCAGCGTAAACAGTCTGGAAGCGGGCGGGAGTGCCAAAATCAAAACACTCGAGAAACATCCATTGCCCTAATGGCGGTGCTCGCGCTTTATTATAGAGTATGATGTATTCGGTAAGACGCCAAACGTATTAGTTCAATAAGGTTGTCTTGATTAGCAATAAAAGACTGGACAAACAGTAAGCGCCGGGTTTTCAAGAAATCAAATTATGCTGCTTACTGTAAAATTTATAGCCCAAGTCGATAGGTATATAAACGCAAGTATAAACCAAAGATGAACTGTCATGCTGCAACCGTGGTGTGGATAACCTTTGAGTTATCATTCTCAAGCGAGAAAAGAGAAAGACACCAGAGCGAATGGTCTTGATTTCATGCGTGCCCAGCGAGAATGCCCTATGAGCTTTGGCTTCCTTCATACTAAGTGAGAGTTCAGTGAAAGTATAAGTTCGTTCGCTTTAAAAGATCCTCGGAGAACACCATTGTGCAGCAAAGGGTTCCTTCATACTACGCTGCGCGCGCGGCGTACGCCACGTACGCCGCGTACGCCGCGTACGCCACGTACGCCGCGTACGCCGCGTACGCAGCGTACGCCGCGTAAGCCGCTGCAGCGCAATGGAATGTCATTATTTGACTCTGATTTCCTTTTTCTTGTCGGTCTGGTCACTCTGTATCTATTTTAGGGAGTGCGGAGCACACGTTAGACTTTCTCACTGACTGGAAAATAGAAGGGCCTTAGCAAGATTCTCAAACTTCAGATACTAAATCAAAACAGTAGGTTTCAATGGAAGTGGTGTTTACTATCACGCGTTTTAGGCTTACTTTCAAATATTTTTACATCTGCTAAATTGAAATAACATCTACGTACATCACTGACACTGCATAATGAATAATGAGCAATGACAAATGGGAAAACGATTTCTACAAGAAGATTACGGGACCACTCTTGTCACCGCTACTGTTTGCGACAAGAATTATAATCTCCGAGATGTTGCTGACGTTGCTGACGGAGAAAAAACAGCGATCGAGGAAACACATGCTCAAAGTAGGAGTTGCTGCGTGACAAATATGATCCAGCAGTCAGTGAGAAAGTGTAACGTGTGCTCCGCACTCCCTAGAATAGATACAGAGTGACCAGACCGACAAGAAAAAGGAAATCAGAGTCAAATAATGACATTTCATTGCGCTGCAGCGGCGTACGCGGCGTACGCTGCGCGCGCGGCGTACGCTGCGTACGGGTTGAACCAGACTTCGCGGACAAGCGGCGTACGCGGCGTACGCAGCGTACGCTCGGTATATTTCATCATGGGAGCATACGCGGCGTACGCTGCGTACGTCGCGTACGCCGCGCAGTCTGGCCCAACCCTACGCGGCGTACGCGGCATACGCGGCGTACGCGGCGTACGCCGCGCGCGCGGCGTAGTATGAAGGAACCCAAATATAAAGATACATCCATAACCAGCGAATCTGTGCTGCCGTGACCGTATATTTTCACTGCTACTGCAGCGAAACACGCCGCAGGACGCTGCTGCGGCAGGCTGCTGCGTCCTACGGCGTAGTATGAAAAAACCCTTTCTCTTACATCGACCCCATGAAGAGTGAAAGCAGCAGACAATAATGCATTGGTACAGATCCATAAGTGAGACTGTAGGACTTATGAGTGATGCTCACAATCTACATTGAGAAGGCAATTGAGAGGGTCAATTTCTAGATAAGCCAGCTCTTTCACATGTCAGCAAACATGAAACAGTTGAACTGAAATCAAAATTACTATTGATAAGGAGTAATGAAAAGGAGCGTTGGAGCCATTTCTGGCACTCAGCTGGACTAAGCCGGGGTTGTGAGATAGAAATTGTTTTATAATGTTTCGAAAACTTGAATTAGCTTTTGCAGAAATCGGAGGCGTGACTGCCTTCAAGTGTTCTATTTGAAAATTTTAGAGGTACAAGACAACTATGAAGTTAGGAAATATCTTGAAAACTTCTCCGAAGGCCTGGCAAGGCTATGCCCTTTTATTTTAGAAAAATCGGTTGGTCCATAACTATGAAATTCCTCGGACTGCGCATGCTCGATTGTCAACCTTAACTCTTGCTCAAAACGGTTACAGGGCCGGGAAGTGCTCCAACACATTTTTTTTAATCGTAACTAAGGAACCCACAAGATGGCTATAGAAAGTCGAGGAGGGGTGTTTAGTCAGCGGTTTAGCACATGTAAATAGCTATGATTCGATAGGTTAGATTTCGCAATGATATAGATCAGTTTCGCAATACCGTTACGAAACACATACTTAGTCAACCTCACTCAGGCACTTTCAAACTGCCTACGAATCATGATTTTCAATTTTGCCGACATTATACGAATTCGACTTACCCTTCTTCTCTTTTCCATATTCATTCCATGCATTAGCACGTGTAATTTTTGCCCAACTTTCTTAATAAAGTTCGCTATCACCTTCCCTTTGTTATACGTCAAGAATATACTAATCTTTTCAGGTTGGGCACAAGAAACGCTCGAGAAGCAGCTTTGCTCACTCATTTGCCTATTCCATTTTCTGTCTCTTGGTGCCAAAAGTTGAACAAATGCTGTGTTTGTTTACAAGATTCTCAGCCTTTTTACGGCGAAACGCCTGATGAAGAGTTCTGGATCGGTGGATACGCGACTATAACTTCTCTCACAGTTCAATATATGTGCGGATAATGATATATATAATCAACAATCTGAATCTGCAATATTGAAAACAGCTTAAAGGTGAGTGATGAGTGATATCGATTTGTTGACTTTACGCCAATAAAAATGTACTCATTCTCGGCCTTTGAAGTATGATTTTATATCTGATTCTGACATATTCACATCCCGAAATGTCGAAGATATGAGACTGGACTCTCCATTGAGGCCTGAACCACTTTTGGACTCTTGCGATGGAGGAGATCGTAGTAAGAGTCACAATATTATATATGCTGAAGCTCGTGATTTCCTAATTATCAAAAATGATCTGGTTCGGATGGGTTGTAGTATCACAGATTTATGTGAACTACTTGCTTGACTTCTTCTTTAAATAAGTGATTGGCAATGGCAAAAATGTTAAGCCAGAAGAATGGAGTGCATCCGCAATTTCCCTTTGCTTCAAATGCCTCTAAATTGCTATCAGGCACTCAGTTGTGCTTGGTACTCACACCACAGAAGATCTCAATCAATTCGAGACTAAATAACTTCGTGTTTCACCTATATCTCAAGCTCATATTGTTGCACGAGAAACTCTAGAGTGGTGTATTTGTAGACATGAGGCCCAAAAAGTCCCAATCCTGTTCTGCCCCCTTATAAAGATTTAGAATTTAGCACGTGTCGTTTCGAAAGTATCAAAATTGTTGAAGGTAAGTACCTTTTTGGTAAATGAGTCTAAAACGGTGATCTTTCTATAGGGGTCTGCTGCGAAGTATTTCTGATCTGATAGAAATGCGGCAGCTGATTTTCTTAGCATATGAAATTGCAAAGTGTATTAATGAACCAGGAGTGCCTTTTCTGTCAACCGATATTTTACGATGTGGTGATTTATTACTGGCAAGGAATGGTAATAATGCTTATAATTTTTTAAAATATCACGAGTCATTATGCATCGGTCAGATCTTCACAAGATCTTCTGATGATTTTATAACCAACACACAGGCGTTTTGGGAATCAGTGAAACAAGAATTTCTCACGTTAGGTGATCCTGATATAACACGCACTTATTTGGCTATTCTAACATGAACGGTCGACAGACAATCTTTCACAACTAATTGGACTCTTCCGGATATGGGGTCATCCGTTAGTTGATATGGAAGAAGGCTTAAGACAGGTGCGTTTACTTGGTCAAGACCCCCAGAGTGTTGATTGAGAGTATGAAAATATGATTGCGTGCAAATTCAAAGAGATTTTATATGAATCCTATTTTTGTAAACACCATGGCCGAACAATTCAAACATCAGCTATGCACTGAATCTAAATGGTGTTAGAGCTCGAAACGAATACATTATTGAACATCGAAGATTACCAAATGATATAGAAGATAAGACATTTAGAATTCAAGGATATAAATCGGAAGTATTATCAACACTTACAAAAATTTTACCATCGAATAGGAATTCACTGAATTATCGGTCAACAGACTGGAATTATGTCGACATGATGAAACAGTTTGGACCTAAATCAACACTCAATGAAATTCCCTTAATTGCGAATAAGGCAGCCTCTGAAGCACATAGTAATGTATTGAAATTTGATGTCTCATAAATGTTTACCGAAAAGTGACGATCTTCGAGTTTTACCATCATATTTAAGAACATGAAAGACGCGACGTAGCAGATTTTTATCTACTATCGATAGAGAAGGAATAAGTCACGAATATCTCGTGGTCGGTTTTACCTCCAAGGAACGTGAGTTAAAAGTTAAACCTAGGCTACAGGATTAGAACTACTTAGACGTATGGTGTCAGTAACCAAAAGAATGTTGCCTGAGACTGACACAGTTCGTGTTGTAATAAACATTGATTTCCAAAAGTGGAATCTCCGCCAGAGGAATGCCCCTGTGAAGGCAGTGTTTCGTCAAGTTGACAAATTGCTCGGGTAAGATAGTGTTATCTCGCGAACGCATGATTTCTTTGAACAAACGGTATTTTATTCAGCCGACGATTACTGCATGCCTGATCCGAATCACTGGGGAATGGACCCTAACGGTTTTAGTTGCATTTTCCACCTCGGAGGCATCGAGGGAGTGCGTCAGAAAAGTCTTTGTGCAGATATGTTTGGATTAAAGGTATATAATGTTCCAATTTTTCAGGAGCAGAAGAGATTGGAATTGATGAACAACATACCGTTTGGATGCTGTTGCAACAATAATCCCAATTTATCCGATTTATCACTTTGCCTCTTCCATCCGAGTGATGCTGGTCTAGCATGAAAGATGGCCCGCGTGGCCTCTGTCACTATGCCAAGGACATCAAAAATACACAAAATTAGAAAATGAGGGAGCACGTTTCGTGCTTTCTCTTCTCGTGATGGTTGAAAACCAAACGGATAGGCAATCTGTGCCAAACGCTGAAGAATGAGCACTTGTCAAAATGCGCGGCATCCCCTGCAGTGAATTCAAGGACGGCAAAGTTACGATACGAAGAACGTCAGCAATTACGAAGCGAACGTGCTGCGCTAACTTTAGTCTTCCTACCTATAAGCTCTTTCACTAACACTAGCTGGAGTACCCAGCTCCGCTCGGTTCTTTCGAAACACTATGATAAGGGTCACCACCAGGGTTGAGCGTGAGGTCAGGCGCGCCCGACGTGGGGAGTCGTCTTGGGGGTATGACTGAGGGGAGGGGGGTCGTAATCAAGAACCGATCCGTTTAGTTGGGGAGATACTACGAAGGTGAAGAAGAAAGCGCTAGTCCGATGCATATCGCAATCACCAGTACTGAAAGGAATGACGGTTGTGAACAGCATACTGATTGTTTCCACATTCGAAATCTCAGCCAAATTCAAGTCTTCATCTTTTACCTTCACATTAAGGTCGCCAAGTAAGCTTGCTGTGTGAAATGGGTATTATTTCCGTAATCAGCATGTCGGATTACCTCTATGAGCTCTAAAGTCATTACCTACAGCATTTTCTAGTGTTTCGCAGCGTCTAGAAAGCCTTTCAAACATGATTAACTTGGTTTCAAAAGTGAAAATAGTCAGCTTTTTTATACTCGTAGCAAAGTATCATTCCCTACAAGTCTATGCTAGAAATCAGGCTTCATATCGTTTTCAAATAGTGAAGTAAGAAATGCTGCCAAATCTCCAACCGGCGCGTTCTTCACATTAAAGGCAGTGTCTCACTAGAATTTGGATCTTGGGATTTTTGCAAATTACAAGTCTTCTCGACCTTGTGTAACCCTAAACGGGCTCTAATTTGCGCAAAAACCCCGGAAACCCCGTTTTTCGAAACCCCTTTAGAAGCGACGCGGACGAGCTTTCCCGCTTCACTCCAGTTTTGGCCACAGGAATGAACACGTCAAGAAGGATCTGTCGCCTGGAAAGACGTGTTGAAACGCGATACAGGAACGGATTATGATGATGATGATTATGATCATGCGATTACCCCCTCCACCCTGTGCAAACTCCTAGCCCCGTAGCTCAAACTTTGCAAAAAATCGATAAAATCGATAAAAGTAATCGATAATCCTGAAAACCAATATTGTATTCGGAATCCCCATGCTCGATTACCCCCCTGTGCCAACTCCCAGCCCCGTAGCTCAAACTTTGCAAAAAATCGATAAAATCGATAAAAGTAATCGATAATTCTGAAAACTAATATTGTGTTCGTAATCAGCATGCTCGATTACCCCCTGTGCAAAATCCCAGCCTCGCATGTCAAAATTTACAAAAAATCGATAAAATCAATAAAAGTAATCTTCTGAAAACTAATATTGTATTCGGAATCCCCATGCTCACTTCCCCCCCCCCCCCTGTGCCAACTCCTAGCCCTGTAGGTGAACTCTGCAAAAAAATCGATAAAAATCGGTAAAATCGACATCGATCGATAACGAAAAGGACTGTGACACCCGCCGGGGCCCGAAGTGTATGTGTGCCAAGTTTGGTCCGGATACGGCGGAGCCGGGTAAGCCAGCTAGTAACTTATAATAACGGGCTAAGGGTTGTTTACGTTTGTGTGTGTGTCTGTGTGTGTGAATCTCTGTCTGTCACGAAATTCGTAGGAAGAGTTCCAGCCAACCTATTTAGCCCAAATTTTGCATAGTACATCCTAGCAGCAGGAAAGTCCATTGTGCAAAAGCACAAGCGGATCCGATAAGTGGATCCCTTAGAAATTGCGCGTGAAACGGGTCCACTTAACTTCTGGCCAGCAAAATTGGGTCCGTATATAAGCTTTTTGCAAAGTCGCGGATATGTTTGACAAGCTACTATTCAAGCCATAGACTTTAGCCCAAAAAATTCGACTAAAGTTGGTTACTTTACGAAGATGGCGCCAAAAAGAATTAGTTGCGTAAATGCTCAGTTTCCCAAGATTTTAACTGATCATTTGAGACGATTTTTGCACAGAGATGTAGCCCACGATAATTAATGTCGTTATGGCGACTACCAAGCCATAAAAAGTCCACAAACCTACACAAATTTGCATTTATTGTTTCAAGAAAAGTTTCATCCACGTGGAAATACCGATCTCATGCAAAAAAGCTCTAGGATTGAGTGGCTGTTTGCAAATCATTCGTGATAAGCTGCATAACGCGGTGAGTTTCAATGTCACTATTATGCGGGAATGAGTAAGGCATACAGAAAGTAGGGCCAGTGCGAGCCTCTGCGGAGCAGAGGTGACGCACTGGTTACTAATAAAGAGAAAATCGTGTTGCCTCTACAAAACTCATGGTTTCGAATTCTCTTCTATTCATGATTATGTTTGTTTGTAGCTTAACACGGCAAAGAGTATATTGCATTAATTGCTAGGTTTTCTAAACAGTTTCAGAGGCAATTTTTATATTCGCCACAGGACCATCAACCCAAACAATCTAACCGATGGCGGTCCCACATAGAAATCTGCTAACGTGTCCTGTATACTTTGAGAAATTCGCAATTTTTTTCGAATATTCGAATATCGAATAATATTCGAAAATCGAAATTCTCGAATATTCGATTATATCGAATATTATTCGAAAATTGAAAACTTCGAATATTCGACTATCGAATTTTATTCGAAAATCGAAAACTTCGAATATTCGACTATCAAATATTATTCGAAAATGGAAGTTTTCGAATCGAATAATATTCGAATATCGAATACCATTCGATATTCGAATTTCGAATATAATTCGGTTCTCGGATGATATTCGATCTTCAAATATCATTCGATTTTCGAATACTATCCGAATAAATTATGCCAGTGAGACTACCTGTGAGAGACCAAAACAACTAAGAATAAATTTTTTCAGGTATAGCCTTTTTTAAGTTTCAATTTACGACGAAAAAACGGTTCAGTTGCAGCCCCGGCAAAAAGATGGGCGCCGGGTTTTGTGGCGATGTTAAAGTAGTCCCCACCTAGCGATGACTGATGTTCGGAGTGAAAAAGGGGGCTACCAGGCCTGAAATTTGCCCCGAAAGTGGCCCAGATCTTACGGTAGGCTCGTGAGTACGAGATGCATGCAAGGTAGAGATGCAGAGTCGTTGCGGGACCCTGCACTCATGAATGTCTGTGCTATGCGTTCTCTGGCCTTGCAGTTCGAATTCGCTGTACGGGCGGCATTCGGGCATACCGTAAGACGGACCACTTTGGGAGCAATTTTCTGGCTTACCGGACCCTCTCTTTCGCTCCGAACTTCAGTCACCGCTTAGGTAGGGGATCTAATCTAACATCGCCACAAAATACTGGACCCATTTTTTGGGACGCTGCCTTCAAGAACATAAAAGCGTACTCCTGTGACGGTTGTAAAGGAATTTCAAAAATCAAAGAAGATTATTTATCCTCATTGAGAGTTGTGGACTGACATACAGGGGTCCCAACAGTGTGTGAATCTGTGGGCTGACATCAACCTAGACTTAACAGTATGAAGCGATGTATCGATCGCTTTTCACTGTTGTAAATTAACGTAGGAAAACTGAGGAGGGTTTTGAGATATCAAGAGCCGTTTCCCCAAGAATGAGAAACAAAAAGGCCGATCTTACAGTGGGCTCCTAAAGACACCCACTAAATAAAGAATTTGCACTCAACCGTAACGCCTTTTGCAACTTATGCCAGGTACACCGTAACAGATGTTTTCCAACAGTTTTCAAAAGCGGTAATGCATATTTGAGAGGCTTGAAAGCCCGTGCCTAGTTGAACATACTAAAAACCTGCTACATAGATCTAAAATCTCTTTTTTTTGTTGGGAAAATTCTTTTGGATGTCTCATTTCGCAGTTGCTCTATATGCTGGAAGTCCATACCGTGATAACACAACAAGAAAAACATAGGTGATTTGCTTTCTGCTGTATTTGTAAGCTGAAGCCATCCCTACAGGATGTTACTTAGAGGTTGGCAAAAGACTTCGTGAGAGGTATTAGCGATTAAACAGTTTGTAGATACTCTTGGGACACCCGTATATGTTGTGGATATCGAATTTCCGAATATTCGATGCTTCGAATTCTCGAATAGCCAGTTCTTGCCAAAATTTCGAATATTCGGTGCTCATCGAATATTCGAATATTCCTTGGACATCGAATGATCGAATTAATAACATTCGAATATTCGACTATCGAATAATATTCGAAAGTTGAGAATTTCGAATATTGACTTTCGAATAAATTCGAAAATGAAAATTTTTGAATATTTATCGAATTTTATTCGAAATCTCAGAGTTTCGAATATTCGAATTTTCGAATCATTGGCATTCGAATGGTGTATTCGAATAATCGAATAATCATTCGATTCGGTCCAAAGCATAGTGTCCTATACTAAACTGACCCAAAATGTTGCCGAAATCAATCGATGCCCCTAGGAATCTAGGAAGTGTTTTATGCAGTATGGCATAATTTATTACATTCATACGCGTCGGCAAAAAAAATTCAGGAAACGACCGGAAATACTACCTAGTGACATTTCGCTGTCAATAATTTCAGTCGTAAGGTTCACCTCAAAAATTTCAAATATATTTTATGAGGAGTAAGAACAAGTTCAGCATCATAAGCAGATATTACAAATGAGAACACACATCCAAGTCCTTAGGACTTCAACGCTCTCGTTTTGAATTTGCAGATGAAAATTCTTTATAGCAATCCAAAACATGAAGAGAATCCCAATTATCTCAATAGAACATCACAAAACGCGTGGCGAGAATGCAAAAGCCAGCATCTGGGCTAATTGGGATTCTTTTCTGGGTCTCAATATCCGCCAAGTATGACGAGATTCAAGACACCAACAAGGACGGTGTCCATGCTCAAAT